GAGGAGAGGTTTTTTGTTTTCAGTAGAAAACAAAATGTGTATTGGTGGCTGATTTAATTTACTAAAGGCACAAGTTATTGTTGTTAAGTACTGTTGTTGTTGTTGTTGTTGTTGTTAAGTGCCGTCGAGTCGGTTTCGACCCATAGCGACCCTGTACAGTTGAGTTGGTTCAAACTCATCACAATCCTATATAGGGCTTCCAAGGAGCGACTGGTGACTTTGAACCACCAACCTTGTAGTTAGCAGTGCAGGGCTTAGCAATGTTGAAGTAGACCAACGGCAAATGATTATGAATAACAGTAGTAATTAATGTTTGTATGGTGACTTCCAGTTTTCCGAGAACTTTTGAACACCTTAGATAGGATTCCATTTCTTCATTCCGTCTGTTCGAGTTCTTGCTCTGCTGTTAGGGGAATGGAGTCGACTTACCCTCACAGCGATCCTCTGTGTCAGAATAGGAGTACTCCATCGGCCTTTTGAGACTGTCATCTTTACAGGAGCAGATTGTCAGGGCTTTCTCCTGAAGAGGCCTGGATGAGTTAGAACCAAACCACCAACCTCTTACTTAGTAACCAAGCACCAAACTTTTGCTCCACCAGGGCTCCTTTTGTGTGTCCTTGTTAAGTGCTGTTGAGTTGCTTCCAGTTCACAGTGACCTCTATAGAATTTCTGAGGAGTGGCTGGTGGGTTTGAACCACCGACCTTGCAGTTAGCAGTTCAGCGCTTATCTTGTAGCATCCCACTCTAAGCCCTGAAATTTTAGCTGAGAAAAAGTGCCCGCTCTCATAAAGCTTGGCATGAGCCCTACAGTAACCTGGCAGAGTAAGTCGAACAAGGGCTATTATGATTCCTCTTAACAGAGGAAACACTTCTAAAGTTTAATTAACACTTGAATTAAAGTCACTACTTTTCTAGAAATTTGGACCCCAGATGAATTGTATCGCTGGCCTTCTAGTTTCTTTGTCAAAATGTTTCAACAACCAGTTTTCTTTAATACATTTTGTACTCTGAAATACGATCTTCACAAACATAGTGAATTTCTGCCATGGAAACTCTATTGCCTGTAAAAAATTCATAATAGCACTCCGGCTAATAGGCCCATGTTTAGGAGAAGAGCCATTTTCTATTATGAATACACCAGTTACAGCTGGTCCACCTTACAGTGTGAGCCAGATATAGTATTTACTGCCAACAAAATTACTGCGATACTGAGAAGGTATCAGAGACAAACCTAGTTAAGTTTACTTCCTTTTAATAACCCTCATCACTCAAACACAAGAAATTGCCTTAAATGTAAAATCATAAAAATCTGACATTTTTTTCTTTAACAATTACAATGACCGATGCATTATTGAAAATGATAGTGATTTCATTATAAATTATAATGTACAGAAATAAGTTCCTGTAAATTTGAAACAGCTTATAAAATGAAAATCATTATAGATTCTGAAAATGTCTACCAGTCACACACATATATATATACTGCCTTTAGTGGTTTTTATTCCTCAGATAATTTTTTTTTAAGTATTTATTCTTTGATGGATGGCATGGGGTCCTCTCTTCTCTCCATGACTCTGATCATTTTCTGTGACTGTTGGGAGACATCATTTGTACAGTAGGTTGCTTATTCAGAATTGATCCATGACAACTAATATGACCAGGTTCCACACATTCTAAAGAGCGCGAACTGCCAAAAGTCAAGTCAGACGTCTCCTTTAGGGTGTACTACCTACCAGTTGTAGTTGAGTCGATTCTGGTTTCTGGAATCCCATGTGTCTCGGAATGGAACTGTGCTCCATAGGGTGTTCAGTGACTGGTGTTTACGAAGTAGACCACTAGGAACCTCTGGGTGAATTGGAACTGCTGGTTAGTAGCCAGGCACTTAACTGTCGGAGCCACCCAGGGATTCCCGCAGGGTTTACTAAGCGGTGGCGAATCCTGCCCTGCCCCAGCCATCCTCCTGTCCAGATTGGCAGAAGATTCATACTGAGTTGAATAGAGGATTCTCTGCGTCTGAGTCCCTGCGGAAAGAACTGGTGTCTTTCCTTCCCATCCCAGAAGAGAGAACAAAGCTGTGTTCCCATCCCCACCAGGCCAAGTGAAGTGAGATCTAGAGGAAAGCTCAGGGCTGCCTGCAGGAAGGGAAGCTTCTGTCTCTCTCCACCATTGGGCTTTTGTCAAACAGGAGCTTTGTTGACTCTCCTAGCACCTGGGAGAAGGAGAATTGGAGAAAGATGTTTAGGCAGAGGTTTTATACGCTCAGCTGCTAATCAAATGGCTAGAGGCCAGAAGTACCTCAGAAGAAAGGCCTGGCTATCTGAAAAACCAGCCATTAAAAACCCTACGGAGCACCATTCTGCTGTCAGGCGTGGGGCCGCCATGAGTGGGAATTGACTTTTTTCATCTAGGTAGAAAGGAGTGGAGAGAGAGCAGCCTGCACCTCCACTGTTCTGCATGGACATGCAGAAAGAGGCTGGGCTTCCACCTGTCCTCCTGCGTCCCACTCAAGGGGTTGTCCTGATGGGGAGGGAGGCTGGCTCTTAGTGGAGGTGAGGAGAAGTCAAGCTGGAGTCAGATTTCTTCCCTCAGAACATGTGGAGTGGGGATCCCCACCCCGCCGCCAAAGAACTCACACACAATAGAACTGGAGTTGGACCCTTGCTACCCAGAGGTTAGTGGAAGCCAGATCAGCCTGAGCAGCCATGCCAGTCATCAGAGCGAGAATTCCACCACATCCAGATGAAAATGAGGGCTGTGCCCTTCCGCATCCCCCTCAACTAGAGGGAACTGGATTTGGGGTGAGGGGCTCCCAAAATAGACCTTGCCCCCTACTCCAGGAAGAAGGGCAGAGCGCAGAGGAGAAGTAGAAGAATCTCTTATCCACCTTGGGATTTTGAACCTCAAGACTTGTCAGTGATGAGAGAGGGAGAAATAATTGAATCTGATTAGAGATTTGAGTTTTATGCAAAAAAATCTTCATTCTTCCCATGGAATTAGCCATGTCCTGTCCCTTGCCTCACTCTGCAGCAGGATAGGAAAGAGGCTGAGCCCATCAATGGTCTCTGGGAGAGACAATACACCTGCCTACCCCAGACCAAGGTCAGCATGGTGGCCAGCCAGCCAGGAAGCAGGCCACAGGGAAGGGCCCACTGAGAGACGGGGACTTTGGGATTAGAGATTAGGGCCTTGGGTGTGTCCTCCTCTCAGGCAGTCTGCCATTCACTCACTGAGGACTTTATCTGTCCCTATTCCTCTCTGGGACTTAGTTTCTCCATATGTAAATTAAGGAGTGTGGCTAGACAGGATGATCTGTATCCTGGGACATCAGAGGGGCACCTACTGAATCCGGAGGGGGAAAAGAAAAACAAAACACTCAACCTATTGCCATGAAATCACTTCAGACTCCTGAATGATCCCATGTGTTGCGGGCACAACTGCTTCATGGGGTTTTCTTGGCTGTAATCTTTATAGGAACGATTGCCAGCCCTTTCTCCAGAGGTATGTATGGGTGGATTTGAATGTTCAGCTTTTTGGTTACTAGCCAAGTTCTTAGCCATTTATTCTACCCGGGTGCCTTCTGAATCCTAACTGGATATTAAACAAACATTTGTTGAGCTTGAAAAAAAAAAGATTCATTATTCTATAGAAAGAAATTTATGCAGCCAGCCCAATTGTTAAATGGCCTGTTGCCACTTGTTTAGGGAATTCATTTCTGAAAGGTCAGAAAGATCCCCCTGTGGGCTCATAGCATGAGGTTTATAGAGGAATTAAGACTAGAAGAGTTGGTTTAAGTGGGGGATGACTGGAGGATACCTCTTGGTTAAACCATGGGGGTCTTACAGTGCCAGAATGTCTGTCCCCAGTGAGTCATCCAGATGACAAACTGACAAGAGTAGAAAACAGGTTTTAATGCAAGAAAGAGAAATTAAATTTCTGGGGGGAAGGGGCGATGTGTAGTCAGAAATAAACTTTCTTTCCCATAATTCATTTGCTAGCAATAGTCCCCTTTGCTGGGTTTCTGATCATTTTGTGGATATGGTCTTATTTCCTTTCTGTAGTGATTTTTGTGTGGTCTGTTGTTAAAATCTGGGAGTGATGGCAATGCTTGCTGAGTAAACTTAGGTGTTCTACCATTTTCTGTAATTCAGTCTCATGTGGAATTTAGGAAGAGGACGACTATGTAAAAGCCAGTTGCTTTATGTGATGGTTTCTGTCATAACTCCTGGGGTGGGATGTTGGATGGTGTTAGATATTACTGCCTTAGATAGATGGCTAATGGTGTCAAGAAGAGCCTGAATTATGGAGCGGGTCCATTCAGCAATGCTGCACCAAAGGGTTCTGAATGAGTAATAGGAAGTGAATGCCCTTGGCCCCCATTCTTACCTTATACCTGTCACCTCCACCACTTCACATGCCCACAGCGGGGTGACGAGCTGACACTTCTTCCTGTGCCCACCAGAATTGAGGCCTCAGGACTCGTAGGATGCAGATCTTCAAGGTGTATCAAACGGAATGATGACTAAATCTGGGAAGTCATTTGATTCCCTTATTTGCTCTGGCACTAAAAACAAGAAAACAAAACAGGGTTTCTCCCCAACTTTCTTGAACTAAATGAAAATAGTTTTCCTCTGAAATTAATAATGTGAAGAGGAAGGGTATTTCTGATCTCTTTGGTAAATGTGCAACCGTTTGTGGTTGGTTTGTTTTGTTCCAAATGTAAATTTATTGGTAATGTCCCTTGATACAGAATTAATGTATAAATGGTCTTTTTTCCCCCCCAGCCAGCCTAAAATATTTTTAGGGAAAAAGAATGATTTGGGAATCAATGATGAGTGACCCTTGGCTATCCTAAGACAATTGGTGGGGAGGTTTGATTAAGAATTGTGATTCTCTGCTTTTTTTTTTCATCGTTTTTTCCCTTCCTTTCCTTGCGGCTGCCTTGGTAGTTGCCATGTTTTAAATATTGACAAGATGAGATAGTTTTCTGTTTATATCAGCAGTCGTCTGTCTGTGAAATATGGACGAATCAGAATGCTGGATTTCCTTTCTCAGCGATTCATCAGGTTCATAATGTAAGGTTACAAATGGTTATTTCTTCTTCCTGAACTTAACGTTATGTACTGTGTTGCAAAGTGTTGTCAAAAGCTATAGGTACTGTGTCTTGGCAGTTCAGAAAGTTTGTAATGTCCAGTGAATCCAGAGATTCTTTGTGTATTCTCCTTCATTGACTGTGCCTTGTGACTAGTTGATGTGCAAAACATGTCCTGAAATGAGAAGCATACTTGGTTTTGAAGTCTACAGTTAAAATCTGTCCCGTGTGAGTTTTGGCTTTCATTCCAAGTGTCTGTGTTAACTTGCTTTTACAGGAAAAAGGAAAAGGGTAAATTGATATATATACACATATGTATATATCATGTTCTCCTCCCCCCTCTTGTCCTTCCCCATGTCCATAGACTACTCAACCCTTTGTGTCTAATAATTCTCAAAGGTTCATGTGCTCTACTCAAAAGAATTAACTGAGTCTCATTTGCATGATATTCTGTATAAATTTGATGCAACTCTGGGAGGAGGGAAGCTGGGAGAGGCACTACCGCAGCCATAAAGGGGTTCTCAGCCTTTTTCCATTTGACTATGCTGAATTGAGCTGTGGAATTTGTGCGATATCGGACCTATTCGAGTCTGAGCTGCGTAATATATTCCAATATTCACAATTGACCGTTGACTATTTTAGAACAATTCCTGTATGTCTGGAAAGTAAACATTTTTGTTCTAATCCACAATTCTCATAAATTTCCCCCATTGGATTGTCCACACTGTCTGAGAGATTGAGACATTTGGTTGAGAATCGCTGAGCAGAGATCTCAGGCTGGCATGCGAGGACTCCGCTCAGGGTGCCGCATCGTGTGTACCCCTCCTCCTGTGCATGGGACTTGTGGGGACCAGTCTGCTCTGTGGGTGATTGCTTGCTTGGCACTGGTGCTCCAGTGACCCAGCAGTTAACTCCTGAGCCCATAAATACTAACGGAAGCAGCCAGTATTGGCAAAAGAAACAGATTCACTGTGGCCAACTGCATTGGACAAAGCTAGCATTCTTTACTCTTGAAGATTTTTTTTTTTAAATACTCTGCAGACACATGCTTATATGTGTTTGTCAATGTTTGTAGGTCTTTTCCTTATATTCACATCCAAATATGAGGAAAGACGCTTCAAGAAGTTGGTAGGCAAATTCCATTTTGTACAGACATTTTGAAGCACTCATGTTTGTATGGTGTTGTTCAGTGCTGTGAAGTCGGTTCCGACTCATAGTGATGCCAGTGGTTTTCAAGACTGTAAATCTTTGCGGGAGCAGAGCACCTCATCTTGTCTCCTGTGAAGCAGCTGGTGGGCTCGAACCACCAACCTTGTGGTTCACAGTCTAGTGCTTCTCCTCTAGAGCCACCATGCTCCCCCTTTACTGCATACATATTTATAAACATACAGTTAGCTGTATGAAGACCTTGGAGATATTGAAAGTAAATGCAGTTAAATAATTCTTATATATGCTTGGGTAGCCCATGTCTGAAATTGGTCAGAATTATTGAAAGTAAAACCTGCAAATAGCAATTGACATTTTAAACCATCTAAGTTTTTCATTAAATGTTCTGAAGAAATTAGAGAATAGTGTTTGTTAATGTTCAGATCTAAATTTACAAGCAGGTAGGTGGGAATAATTCCTAGTAGAAAAGATTTAAAAGCTTCTACTAAAATAAAGATCAATTACATCCTAATTTTAAAAAACCTTTAAAGACTGAGAAAATACCATACTTCTCTATTCATGTTAAAAAGATAAGCCATAATTATGATTTTTAATTATTTACTGAAATCCTTAGAGACTATTCTCACTCTATTCACACAACACATTGTTGTTGTTGTTAAGTGCCATCGAGTCGGTTCCGACCCATAGCGACCCTGTACAGGGTTTCCGAGGTTATAAATCTTTACGGGAGTAGAAAGCCTCATCTTTCTCCCACAGAGCGGCTGGTAGTTTCGAACCGCTGACCTTAAGGTTCACAGCCTGATTCGTAACCACTACGCTACCAGAGCTCCTTGAATACATAATCTCTTCAGGTTTCCTTTTCTGGGAAGAGGATTTGCTTTGGAATGTATCTGAAGTGCGTGGTACATGGAAGAACTAAAATTTATAGCTGTTTACCCCCTTTGGAAATAATGCAAAGTTTCCAGTGTTGTCCTGGTGGCTTAATGGGTTACACCTTGGACTGCCAACTGTAAGGTCAGCGCTTCGAATCCACCAGCTAGCTGCTCCCATCAGATTTACAGCCTCAGAAATCCTATACAGGGTTTCTATGAGTCGGAACCGACTCAACAGCACATAACAACAACATGAAATTTTGTGAATTTTTTTTTTCTGTATCCTAAGTAATTTAGTTAGTGAAGCTATATTTTCTAGCCAATGACCTGAAGATCTAAAACAATGTGTAATTTAATTAATTTAGTTACAATCCAATTATAGTCCAGTTCAGCCAGACTCTAAATTTCTAGGAGGCAGTTGGTAAGTACCTGTTAAACAGAATAAATTCTCATTTAAAACTCTAATCTTAAATTACATTTGCCTTTACATTAAAAGGCTAAACTTTATTTGAATTTAAGTAGTTTGGTTGGTTGGTTGGTTATATGCCGTGGAGTCAGTTCTGACTCATAGCGACCCTGTACAGGGTTTCTGAGGCTGTAAATCTTTATGGGAGCAGAAAGCCTCATCTTTCTCCCGCAGAACAGCTGGTAGTTTAGAACTGCTGACCGTGAGGTTCGCAGCCCGATTCATAACCACTACGCTACTACAGTTTCCTCTACTTAATGAAGTGTGTTTGTAAAAAAACAAACCAAAAAATCTTTGCAAAAAGCTTTAAAAAGCATTAAAATGAAAAATAATCATAAATTAACAATTTGGGAATCTGTGCCCAAATTCTTGGAATGTTAGGATCATTCAAATACATGAACCTAAGCAAAGGTTTTCTCTAAAGAAATGCTCTAATAACAACTTTAAGAATGCCTCAAATCATTTTCATTTCTCTTCTGTGATTAACCTAGAGGAAGCCCCTAAAGAGACTGCAAGCCAGTTCGCATCTTAAGGGGTCACATGAAATATAACTGATTTTCCCAAAATATTTCCTACTCCATCTCGTTGTGATGAATAACGAGTAATGCACTATTGCTTCTAGTGATTAAATCTACGTTTCATTTAAAGGTAACATTTGATTTTAAACCTTTATTTGAAGCAAAAGACTTTTTAAAACTCTGAATTCTATTTAGTATTTAACAAATATTTTTTACTAGAAAATTATTGCATGAAATAAAACATTTGCCTGAGGAAATGCTGGTAGTTTATAGATATGGATGCCTAATGTTGGGCTTCACAATTCAAAATTTACTGTATGTCTGACACAAAAACCCTTATTGACTTTTTGATAATTCCTCTACCTAGCCTCCTTTCCTCCCATAGTTTATTCCTGTCATCTTCAACCTCTAGGAGGATTGAGACTTCTGAACTCCTGTTTTTATTAGAAGTTTATCATGTACAATTGAATCCCACCGAAGGGCCCAGGCTATACCCGTCCTGTACAATAGCTCAAAGATAGATTCAGTTGTTTGAGCCCATTTGTTCCCATTAAATGAATTTCATAAAGAAGAATCTACACTTAGAAGCTAAATCCTGTAAATATTCTTAGATTCGAAGATCCAAAGAAGTTGATTAATTTCCAGGAAGAAATGTATTTTCTTATCAATTCAGTCATAAAAACCTTTGTTCCCTCTGTTATAAATCGAATTTCTGAAAATTGCACTAAAGATGACAAAACTCAAGTGTCTATTTCCAGAAAGGTAGGCTCAGTCCCCGTAGGGGATTTAAAAATATTTGGACTGGAGCAATATTTCAAAGTCACAAAGAACATAAAATAATGGATTAGACTTCCCTAGAATTATCTCAGCCCATGGCGCCTAGAGGCGGCCCTGTGAGATCAATCTGGACTCAGAGCAGGTGGTTTGTGGTTTATGGACAAAGTGGTGACCTGGGGGAGCAGATGATGGCACTGCCTAAACAAAATTCAAGGAAGATGCCACTGGTTTCCTCAGGTGGTTATCAAATAGGAGATTGACACGGTTTTCTGGCTGAGATTATATGCTGGGGTTTGTTACTCCCCAAATGGCTGCTGCCACTTATGTGAATGACGTAAACATTTGGGTCAACATTTGGCTGTCCTTCTGCTTTAAGTGTATGGAATTCACAGTGAAGTTTAAAGTGCCTGAGTTAATTCGACAATTATTTGAGAATGGATTTGCATATTATTTGCATGCTTAATGTACTAACGCGTGAAATCTTCCAAATAACCCTAGCTTCACCCTACCCATCGCCACCTTCAGCCCTAATCTCAGCCTTTCCCCTGCAACCCATTTCTCCCAGGTCTTGCCATGTCTGTTCAGGCTTTCTGGAAAACTGCCTGTTGACCTCGGCCAAGGGTCTACCTCAGCTAAACTGGAACAGGGCTGACTTGAATCAGCGCTTGGTGTGAACTGTCATATAGCAGCAGAGACTGGATCAAAGGATCTTTTGATGCCAACCGATCCTCCTTTTGTATCATTCCACGGAGTGGCGTGCAAACTTCTGTCGTTCTGTTAACAGTGTTCCCTGTGACTTCAATGTACAATACCTGTTTACTGTGTTGTTGCTCGATCGAGGGAGTGGGAAAGAGAGAGAGAAGGGGGGGTTTATGGGTGAATTCAATGATGATGTGATAGATCTGGGGAGGGTTTTTACTTAGATTCCAAAGCTGCATATTTCCAGAGTTTCAAATTCTTTTCAGTTAAAGGTTTTTACACTCATCTTCAAAATAATATTAAAATCCACATCACCTACATTTTTTAATTGTAGATTTTTTTTTTTTTTAATTTGGAGAGCGCATCACAGCTAGTTGAGAGAGTAAACATTTAAGAAAAGAAGGAAAAGATTCAAAATACAGAACACAGAGAAACTTCAAAGAGTCAGGTGAGGTATAGGGATGGGTCACAGCATAGAGAAAAATAATACCAAAGCAGGTATGACAGATGAGTTCTTAGCAGTATCCATGGAGAGGGGATAGGAAAATCAAGCAATTTGCAAGTAAATCAATAACTAAGGAAAAACAAACCTTGGATAGTAGATTTCAGAATACAGCATGAGAGAAGCAGCAGAGAAATGCTGGCTCATCACCCACCCCAAGGAGAAGCCAAGGAAACAATAGCCTGGTAGGAATCTTGCTCTTTCTGCAGCTAGGAGTGACCTGTCTCAAGGAGAAAAGCTTCAAGCAGTAGCCAAATATCTCTATGAAAAAGCCTGTCCATTTCTGAGGAAACCTAGAATTTTCTTCTGGTTCTTCAAAGCCAGTTAGAAGCAACACCCTTGCCTAAAACTTTACCAACATTGACAACCACCTCATTTTCCATCTAACACAAGTCCAAAAAAAATTGCTAGTTCTCCACCCCCCAAAACGTCAACACTTCCTAGGGAAGTGTGGTTCTTAATCTTTAGTTGGTTCTAGATGCTTTCAGATAATGAAAGCTATTAAATTACATATACACTTACATCCCAAAGTTTGCACTCTTCATCCCAAACTCCTTGGAAATCTTTAATTTATAAAGTCTACAGAGTGCCTACCCATTCGCATAGAATTGGCAGTTGGTCCCTAACCAAGGTTTTATTTGGTTTAGAAGCATGAAACCTAACTGTAGGAAAGGTAATTGCTCATTAATTCTGTAATGCCAGCTGAATCTAGGCCAGAAGAAGGAAACTTGGGAAATCTGACTGCAAAGACATTCGTTTATGTCCATTTGAGATAACAAACTAAAATTTTAAAACTCAGAATTCTTAACCAGGAAAAGCTTTTGAAATCTCTTATGTAATGTGTAAACTAGACTAGCACTCAGAAGAGACTTGCAACATAGGCCCTTGACTTTACAGACACTCACGCTAAGCACTTTATGCTAATAAAACAGGTGGGAGCAAACCTAATGGGAAATGAGCAATGAAATTATGGAATGTATGTTAGTCTTAGTGACCACATTTATTATAGGCTACATTATCATATGTGAATGTGCTTGTATTTGTAAAGGGGATCCTCAAATCCCTGCATATGCACATAGGACCAAGTTGGTATATAAATGTTTAATCTTCAGAGCTACTTGAGGGTTTCTAAGGAAGTTAGGTGTATATCCAGCAAGTCATGGTGGCATCACCTCAATACAATTGAAATCAACCAAGAGAAACTTATTTTCATCCATGAGTACGTTTTTCTTTTAAAAGTTTTTAGGACCATACTTACACACCTTTTATCCAAAGTGCATGATCTATGTCACAGCTGGGAATTGAAATGGAACTGTGAATTCTGAGTGTAAAAGTAACTCAAACTAAAAACTGGACAGTCAATTTTTCAAACAGAAAATTCTTTCAGAGATTATATGTTCTCTTCTATTATAGCATACCATCAACCATTCATCAATCATTGATGAATAGTTCATGTTTTGTTTTTAAATTACATGAGATGGCATTCTAAATTTAAATATAACTCAGCTTCTTCACACCTCAAAAGATTAACTCAGCTTTAAAGAATCTGATGCTAATACATATAAAAAGGTAATGAACAGTAAGAGTAGTTTATATACATTTATGTAATACACTGAACCACATTTTCACGTTTATAAGCACACATGCATATCATGACCTGAGGCTAGCTGTAGGGAATGAAGTTTCCCATTGCTCATACTACCTCTAGAATAAATATGATTTTCAGACAGGAGACTGGGGAGAACCTTCCATTACGCTGCGACCTCCGAATGAAGCTACAGCCTCAACTCCAGTACAGTACTGGCAGCATCACCCAGAAAAGCTCATCTTCCAATCCTGTGATTACAAAGCTTTCGTAAGTTACCCTGTCTTATGTATTTGGGTATGGGTGGGATGAGAGGGTATCTTTCTGGTTTGTTTTGTAGGAAAATTATAGCAAAATCCAAACACTGAACCATTCCTGAATTCTTTTTTCTCCTCCTCTCCTCTTTCTCTTAGGTAGCCAGCCACCTAGCCAAAGAGTTCAAGTAGAACTTTTTAACCCTTTTGTTTTCGAAAGCTTAAAATTTGTTTTGGTTTCTTACATAGGTGAAGTTTTCAACTGAAGTATGGTGAAGTGTAATCTTAAAACAAAAATGAGTATAAATATGCTATTGTTAAGTGTTGTCAAGTGCGTTTTGACTCATAGCGACCCTGTATGGGGTTTCTTAGAAGCGGTTGGTGAGTTTAAACTGCTGACCTTATGGTCCAGTGCATTATCCCACAGTATCACACCAGGCAGGACTCTTAAGTATAAATATAGCATCTCCCACCCCCACCCCACATACTCACCAGTGATCTCAAAACCTTGAATCTGCCACTTTCTATAAGCACTAAGTTCTGTTCATGGGCATCATTAGGATTAAATTACTCTTGATCTTGTTGTTATTTTATTTTTAGAAATGGACTCAGTTATGCTTAGCTGAGAATTATGAGTAATATGAACAGGTAAATGTTCAAAAGATGTAGGCTTTGTGGCAGGTGGTGGTTGTCATGACAACAGCAAGAAAAGTACCTGAACCCTCTGAATTGAATTGAAACTGCCTCTCTTAATAAATGTTTCAATTAGGGTAAACTTTCCCGAAATAGCTTAAAAGATAAGGATTTCACCAAGATCATATTCTTCAATTTGATGAAGATATGGTAGGCATTCTCAAAGCAATTTACATTGTTTTGTTTGTTTTTCCATTTTGCACTTCGGCTCCTTTTTTATTGCTTATCTTGCAGCACTGAATCTATTTCAGCACTGAATCTATTTCAATAGTGAGCTCCCCAAAACTGCATGGTTGAAATGTCGCTTCTTTCCTCCAAAGCTTAAACCCCAAATTCCTGCACTTCTTTGAATGACATGCCTAGCTCTTCACTTTTGTGCCCTTGCGTATCCACTCCTGGTCAGGAATTAACAGGTCTACACAGAGTAGTCGTTGCAGTGTATCAGGGTGTCTCCAGTCATCTCAGGAAGCATCCTTTGACTGTTTTATGAAATAATAACTTTAATTTGTTTTTTTAAAAAGATGTACAAAGGACTTATATTTTTTAGAAGTGCATTCCAACCAACCAATTGCCATGGAGTCAGTTCCAACTCACGGTGCCTCCATGTGTCTGAGAGTAGAGCTATACTCTGTTTGTTGGAAGTAGATAGTCAGAAAGGTCTTTTGAGATGACTCTGGACTTGAACTATCTTTTTGTTAACAACACATAAACCCTTTGCCACCACCCAGGGACTCCTGAATGGCATCAGGGAGGAGAAAATAACAAAAGGAATGAGCCCTATGGAAGCTTCAAAAGGTTAAGGAGGAGTCAGTTGACACAAAGACAAAATAGATGTTTTGCTTAGAATGATTTGCTCCCAGTCAGAACTTGAAGCATAAGTGGCATTTTGTGCCTGGGCAGTATTGGGATACGGTCACTTAACAGCAAAGGGAGTTTCTGGGAGTCACCTTTCTCATACTACTCCTGTCTCCACTAGGTCCTCAAAAATGTCAATGTACAACAGGGACTCAGGGATCCAGATCTCTACTGTGAAACAACTGAGATTACACCCTTACTCCTTATATCCCCCTCCCACCCCATTCTCAGGTGGATCAGCAGAGAACCCACAGCTATGAATGAAAAAGGTCGAAAGCATATCTCCGCCTGAGAACAGCCTACCATTAATTACCTGTGCAACCAAATAAGCCTAAATGGGGTACATGTTGCTTAGCTTCTCAGCTGTCTCATACAACCCTGTAATTACATAGATAGTAGTGTGATTTATTTTTGCAGACATTGCTGCCTCAAAAAAAAAAAAAAGGAAAACATTTTTAGATGCCCCATTTTGCAGTTAAATATGATTTGAAAGATGGCATTTTTAGAAAATGCTTCCATTTATTGTAAAGAACAATTTGCTACCCCTAGAACTTTTGATTAGTTCTGCCGCATTCTCCCTGTGGATGCAGTGATTGGTTAGGATTAAACACTGTTAGCTTTCAAAAGTTGTGCAAGAATTTATAGCCGGGAATCCTAGACCATTATAATTCCAGTTTGTTTTTAAATCATTACTGGTATTTTATACTTTTTCATAAACCGTTTTTTAAATTGTTTTAGTATTTAGGTTCTATGCTGATAAAAGAGCTCAGGGGGACAGAGTCAACCCAGGATGCGTGTGCAAAAATGCGGGTAAGTTTGCCAAACTATTTTATTCCCAGGAGCTGTGAAATACTAAATAGGGGGTATGGATATAAATTGCTACTTTTCAAATGATTCTTTTCTTCATCTGCTCGTCTGCTGAATCACATTGGTGTTATGTCAAAAGGTGTTTGGCTTTGTTCATGTTTATACTTGAACTTACCTCCCTGTACTTTCAGGGCTGATGTCTACTACTTTGATAGATTAGTTGTTTTCCTTTTGTTAAAGCTTGCAAATTATTGCATATATGTTGGTCCTTCTCCAGATTAGGAGAGAAATGATCTCTTTACTTAGCACAAGAAAAGGTTGTAAGTACCCATTTTGCATTCTAAGAATATTTTCTAAAAAGACCGCCAGTCAACTAAAAATTACCCAATAGATAAGCACTGCTTACATATTATGTTGTCACTGTTAGATGCCTTTGAGTCAGTGTGCTTAGAAACCCTATGTACAAAGGAATAAAACACTCCTGGCCCTGCACCATCCTCACAGAAGTTGCTGTGTTTGAGCCCATTGCTAGGCCTCAAGGCCAATCCATCTTGATAAGGGTCTTCCTCTTTTTTGCTAACTTTCTACTTTACCAAGGATGATGACCTTCTCCAGGAACTGTTCCCTTCTGATACTGTGTCTGAAGTTTGTGAGGCAAAGTGTCACCATCCTCACTTCTAAGGAGCTTTTTTAGCTGTACTTCTTCTTCCAAGGCAGACTTGTTCATTCTTCTGGTAGTCCATGGTATACTCAATATTCTTTTCCAATATCCTAACTAAAACTCATTAATTCTTCTTCAAGTCTTCCTTATTCGTTGTCCACCTTTCACATACATATGAGATAATTGAAAATGCCAAGGCTTGGGTCTAGTACACCTTAGTCCTCAAAGTATATAGCTTATATAATTCGTGAGGTTTATTAATTATTCCAGAAGAAAGATGAGGCATTCTGCTTCTGTAAAGATTTACAGCCTCGGAAACCCTGTGCAGGATCACTATGTGTCGGAACCAACTCCACGGTACTTACCAACAACATTAATTATTCCATGTTTTTTAATGTAAAGAAAATTCAATCTAAATTAAATCATTTTAAGGACAGTAAATAATGACTAAATGGAAAATGTCTGTGGTTGGTGACTACTGGGTTCCTAGTGTCTATGTTAGCCAAGGGGACCGAATCTCAGCCTTACAACAAGTCCACATTTGTTTTTTCTTTGATATGTCCCTTTGTCTTCTTTCCTTCGTGGTAGATGTATAGAGGCTTAGAGCTATCTAACAGTTGTTGTTAAGTACCGTCGCGTCGGTTCCAACCCATAGCCACCCTGAAGCGGGTTTCCGAGGCTGTAAATCTTTTTGGGAGCAGAAAGCCTCATCTTTCTCCTGTGGAACCACTGGCAGTTTCACTGACTTTGAGGTTAGCAGCCCGATTCTTAACTACTACATAACACTATGCTACCAGAACAGTACAAGGTAATAATATCAGCCTGTGAGGGCTCAGGACTATAGTCTCAGGGGACACAGTGGTCAACTGGCATAATGTTGTCCATAACGACAGTGTTGCGCATCCTGATTTGGTGAGAAGCACTTAGGATCTTAAAAGCTCATGAGTGGCCATCTAAGGTACAATTGTTGGTCTTCATGTGCAGAAGAAAGAAGAGTGATGAAAATTGAAGACATTAGTCCAATGGACTAATGAAATACATGAACATCAGTCTCCATGACCCTGAGACCAGAACTAGATGGTGCCTGGTTACCACTCAACTGTTCTGAAAGGGATCACATTAAAAGGTCCTTGAGGGAGTGGAAGAAAATCTGGAATAAAACTCAAAATTATAAAAAACTAAAACAGGGCTTACTGGTCAAAAGAGACTGGAGGAACCCAAGACTATGGCCCTCAGCCACCCTTCATATCTGGACTAGAACTTCCCCTTGTGACCCAATTTCCAGCCAAGTGATAGCTAGGTATAAAAGGGGGACAACAAAACTAATAAGGCATTCTCACCATGGGTGGTCAACCATTCAAGGTCAAAAGGGCAACATTTATCTAAGGCCAGAGTTCAGAAAGGTGAAATGGAAATACGAACCACAGAAAGGAAGTGGGATAACTGGTATTACATGGAAGGGATTACAATCACTGAGATGTAACAAAGTCTGTGATTTATTGAATGTAAAACTGATGGTCTGTTCTGTAAGCCTTCACTCAATTCATAATGCCCCCGCCAAAATAAAAATTATCAGGCAAGCATTCAGCTGCCAACCAAAAGGTTGACAGTTCAAATCCGCCCAGCGACCCTGGGAGAAAGACCTGGCAGTCTTCCTAACGGTTATGCCTAGGAAACCATGGGGCTGCTGTGACTTGACACCACCAAACAACAATGGAGAACAACAGGACCAAAAGGTCAAAGCAAATCTCAGGCCAATTTAACATAGCAATGATAAAGCCACGCCTGTGGTTGCTAGCAGATGAACCCGAGCTTTTTATTTGTGGCATTTCTTTTGTATGAACAACTTTTGGTGAGAAATATTTAAAAGCTTATAATTGAACTATAAAACAGTTTTAAAGAGAAACATAAAATGTTATTCATGGAAACCTAAATATGAATGAATATACATGAAACTGGAGTCTTTGTATATGATTGGGAGTTTAATATTCTAGTCACTTGACTAGCAAAAAGACTGATGTCATGATACTTTTGTCCAATGTAGAGTACACTTAAAATTGTCCGTAGTAATGCATCTTTATCCCAGGTACTGTGTTCAGTTGAAACAAACTCTGGTGTGTGTCAAGATTTCTTAAGTTCTAAGTGTTTCTATAGACTTGCCTTGTTAGCTGCCATTGAATTGGCTCTGATTCCTGATGACCTTATATCTAACAAACACAACACTGTGCCATCGTCATGGTCTCTGATTAGCTTGAGTCCATTGTTGTGGCTACTGTGTCAGTCCGTCTCACTGAGGGTTTCACACTTTTTTCCCTTCCTACTTTACCAAAGGAGTCCTGGTTTGGCACTGTGGATTAAGGCGCTGGACTTTAAGTTGGTTTGAACTGCAAGGTCAGCAGTTCAAGCTCATCAGCTTCTCTTTGGAAACCTTATCTATACAGGGTCACTATGGGTCAGAACCAACTCAACGGCACTTAACACACTCATGCACTTTACCAAAACATGATGGCCACTTCTAACAACTGGTCTTTCCTGATGTCATGTCCAAATGAAACAAGCCAGAGTCTCACCATCCTCTCTTCTAAGGAGCATACTGGATGTCTTTCTAGATTAATTCTTGTGTGCTTCTGGTCGTGAGTCATTGTTTAGTCACAACAATAAGGTTGGACTCCTGGTTTGACACTGGTCCACCAGCTGCTCCTTGGAAATGCTATACAGGGTCGCTATGAGTCGGAACCAACTCCAAGGCACTTCACAACGACAACAACTGCTAATGTTTACATGTACTTACGATGTGCTAGAATCTGTGCCAAGTGCTGTGTATATTTATCTCATATAATCTTTACAACAATCCTATGAGAGTAGTAACAGTTATCATGCCCATTTTATAGATGAAGAAACTGAGACTTAGAAAGATTTTCCTGAAGTCACATAATAAGTTCTAAATCTGAGGCTGAGTTAATGTCTTTCAACCACAACATCACTCACTCTGCTTCTCTTAGGCCAAATTTCTTACTTAAATATTGAGACCATTGGCAAATACCTTTTAGGATTTTTCTTGTTTTTTTAAATCTGATAGTCTTATATTTTAAATGTATATCTGATCTAAATTATGTTACCAAAGAACAATTCAAAAATGGGAAAGTTTCTCAATCTACAAATCTCATACTAATTTTAGAGACATTCATGAACATATCTAAGAAATTAATTTGACAGCGCTTATTTCACATTATTAACTAAACTATCTCAGTCCAGCTATTTGATGTTGTAATCAGCATGAATACTGCACAATGTACATAGTGCCATTGAAAATACACCAGATCTGTGATTTGAATTTCAGTCAATTTCTCAAAATTGAATGGATCCTATTCTGTCCACAGTAACAAAGCCATTTTGATAATCTTGGTGGAGAATAATTTAGTTAAATACATTTCTGTTGACTAAAATAAAACTTAGAGAAAGCCATCGATTTAGAAGCCATTCTGTTCTTTTGGGCATTTTCCTGGTTTGCTACCCTTGGTGTTTATTTTAGGGAGTTTACATGAAAATAGAAACTCTACTGCTTCTTGACTATCACCAGACCGTATTTCCCATTTAATTAAATAAAATCTACCTGATTGTGATACGATCGCTAACGCTGCCTTCACTGGGCTCACTTGCAAACCCAGACGTGTGGGGGTCTGATCTGTTATCTGAGGCTATGGAATTGTGAATTAGAACTCTCACCACCTAAACAGCGTAGGTCTCGACTTATAGTTAATTTTCACTTTGAAGCTGAAGATGCTATTTTTTGTATTCAACATGGTGGCATTTTCAGCCACAACTCCCAGAAATACTTTAGAGATATCGGTGATCTTAAAAATAATGCAGTATTATTTGGCCAAAAGTATTGTAGATGAAGACTTTCCCTAGTTTTCCCTTTTAATTGGGGCAATGGGGGTGGGAATGGGGTGGGGGTGGGGGGCAGGGTTCAGTTCACCAGTCTGAGATTAAAATGTCTCTCCCAGTAAGACAGAAACCAGAGATCAGAGTGGTGCCTTCCTCTGTCAAAGGTTTCCTCAAATGGACGTTGTTAACAAGGATGACTAAGATTTGGTTCCTGTCCTCACTGAGTTCACAGTCCAGTGGAGGAGCCCCACATGTAAGCCTTTAATCACTCCAAAGTGGAAGCGGTATCACCATAGAGTTGTCCTGCAGATACCATTGATAGCAGCAGAGGGAAGACCCTGACTACAGCCTGAGGGAACATCCTAGCCCATCCCAAGAACCATAGCTGTTGTTTGCCTGGCTCCCCCGTCATCTGCTGACAGCCAATGAGTGTTCTAAACTGTGACTTTCAGTT